CTGGGGGATTCTAGGCAGGGGCTCTACCACTGAGCCACACCCCAGCCCCTCACTGGGGGAATCTAGGCAGGGGCTCTACCACTGAGCCACACCCCAGCCCCTCACTGGGGGAATCTAGGCAGGGGCTCTACCACTGAGCTGTAACCTAAAACTGTGTTTGTCTTGGTTAGGCTTTTTCATAGACCACTCAGATCTGGAGACAATGGCTCATCCCTGTATGAGGATCATGAGTTTGGGGTTAGCCTGAACTACATAGCAAGATCTTGGGAAAAAAAAAAAAAAACACTAGGGAGAGAAACCAATTGCAGCTAGGTATAGAGCAGTATACCTGAAGTCCTAGCTATTCCACAACCCCTTCAAAAAAAAAATCCACCAGGACCAGCAAGATGGCTCCATAGGTAAAGATTCTTGTTAGGGAGCCTGGTGACCTGAATTTGATTCCTGGAAGCCACACAAATGTGGAAGGAATGAACCAACTCTGCATAGGTTGCCCTCTGACCCCCACTTGGCATGCATGTGCCCACACACACCTCATACTCCCTCCCCCACAATAATAATAAATATTTTTTTAAAAAGTGAACAAAAGCCAGGCGTTGGTGGTGCACGACTTTAATCCCAGCACTTGGGAAGCAGAGGCAGGAGGATCTCTGTGAGTTCAAGGCCAACCTGGCCTATAGAGCAAGTTCCAGGACAGCCTCCAAAGCCACAGAGAAACCCTGTCTCAACCCCCCCCCCAAAATGAACAAAAGTAAAAGCCAGCATGAAAGACATCACTACCAGTAAGAATAGCAGTACCTGTTACAGGCGTGTGCACAGGCCTCCAAGATTACAGCTTAGGGGCCAAAAGAAGTGTAAGGAGGGAAGGCAAAGTGTCTGGTTCTGATGCTAGATTGGATCCCAGAGCCAAGTAAAATGTGATGAAGCCAGGGATGTGACTCATGCCTATCACCCCAGCTCTTGGGAAGCTGAGGCAGGAGGATTACCATGAATCCAAGGCCAATTTAGGCTTCTGAGTGAGCTCTGGACTAGGCTGTACTATAAAGAGGGGGAGGGAAAAAGGAGGGAGGGAGAGAAGGAATGGGGAGTGGAGAATGCTGAGCTGGAAGATATCCTGAGACTCTGAACAAATTGACCCGTTTAACCCCCATGGGCTCTTTGTATCCCTTATTTGAGAACAGGGAGCAAAAGCATCTGAGATGCTTAAAAACCACCTTACTTCTGACCACCTTACTTTCCCTAGGTATGATCAGTGACTTACTTGCCAAAGGGGCTGTGGATCAGCTGACACGCCTCATTCTGGTGAATGCCCTCTACTTCAACGGCCAGTGGAAGACCCCCTTCTCAGAGTCCAGCACCCACCACCGCCTCTTCCACAAGTCTGATGGCAGCACCGTCTCTGTGCCCATGATGGCTCAGACCAACAAGTTCAACTACAGTGAGTCCAATATCCCAGTCTCCACACCTTACAGCTACAGACCCTGGGCAGCATTCAGTGTCGCTCCCAGAGAGAGAAGCATGGCAGAGGTGAACATACCCAAGTTAGTACAAAGACTTCCCAAGCAGGAGATACTGAGATAATTCGAGAAGGGGGTAAGATATCAGTTTCTTTCATGCTAGATGAATCAGAAGTGGAGATAGTTTCCCTGACCCACATCTGCCTGGCCGTTAAGCCCATCCCTCCTCTTAAGAGGTTTCTAGTGTGGTTACCTGGGGCCAGCAAGCCCAGTGAGGGGGAAGGCTGTATGAAAGTTGAGATTTAGAGGACGAGAATGGGGATAATTAGTGGCTGGGGTCAGACAGTAATGAAGTCCGGAGGGAGAACATAGGCAGGAAGGGTGGGGCTATGGCTTTGAGAAAATGTTCACCCAGTATCAGTAAAGCCCTGGGTGGCATGCTCAGCTCATAAGCCAGGTATGGTGGAGAATAAGCTCAGGGCCATCCTTGGCTATATAGCTAGTTCAAAAGAAAAAAAAAAGGAAAGGAAAGGAAAGGAAAGGAAAGGAAGACATTCGGATGGGATGTAGAGTGGGGAGAGGACTTCCAAAACTAGAATAGAGAACGAGGCCTTCTAGAAGGGGAGAGGACAAGAGAAGCCAGAGGAAAGCTAGGAAGGAATCCATGTGAGCTGGAGCCATTTCCAAGATGCCATCTTGGTATCTCCGCAGCTGAATTCACCACTCCTGATGGCCACTACTACGACATCCTGGAACTGCCCTATCATGGAGAAACCCTTAGCATGTTCATCGCAGCGCCCTTCAAAAAGGAAGTGCCTCTCTCTGCCCTCACCAACATTCTGGATGCTGAACTCATTCGACAATGGAAAGGGAACATGACCAGACTTCCCCGACTTCTCATCCTGCCTAAGTAAGCCATCCCATTTGCCAACACCCTAACTCCAACATCCGCCATCTCTCCTAAAGCCACTATCCCCCTGTGGAATTTCCCAGATGGCTAATGCCCACAGGGAAAGGACTTGTACGGGAGGCTGATGGGAAACCTTCTAGCCTGGGTTTGATTCTGGTTTCTTATTCCATCATCATGCTTGGAGAAAGTTTCTACTGTTGGAGAAGAGATAGATTTTATAAAATCCATCCCCACATAGACCATGTACCAAATACCCAGTAAGAGTCAACCAAGGTGTAGCATAGTGCCACAAGCCTGCAGCCCCAGAGCTTCAGAGATTGAGACAGGATAGTGAGTTCAAGACCAGCCTTGGCTATGGGGCGAGACTGCTAAAGATGTAGCTTAGTTTGCAGAGTGCTCAGCTACCACGCATGAAGCCCCAGGTTTGAACCCAACATCACACAGACCAGACATGGAGGCACACATGTGCAACACTAACACTTGAAAGGTTAGCACAGGAGATAAGGCCGACCTGGGCTATATGCAGTAAGACCCTGTCTCAAAAAGCGG